AGTAATAATAATAATAATAATAATAATAATAATAATAATAATGATAATAGCATTTATGAATTAAAAAGCCTATTAGACCGATATGATTGTTGCAAAATAGATCCTAGAACTGCTTTTTTTTTGGCGCAAATGTTGTCTATATTTAAAACAAGAATATAGTAACAAATTGATAACCAAAAAAAAAAAAAACATCAAATGGTTAGTTCAGGACACCATAAAATTCATACCGATTTAAGTTATTGTTTGTAGATCGGTATCAATTGCATGTTATCTTTTACCTTACTATCTTTTCCACCTTTTCATCGATTTACAGAATTGTGTAACAAATTGTTGGATTCAACAAATGTAGCACCACATGAAGCTGAATTATACTGCAAGCAATGTCATGGTCGAAAGTTTGGCCCAAAAGGTGTTGGCTTTGGTTTGGGTGCTGGTGCTTTGACAATGGATGATGGGTCAAGATTTGCAAACAAATGAACAAAAATGGTGGTCAGCATAGCAACGGTTTTTTGGCCCCAATGTTTTCATTTTAAAATTTCGAAAACATTAACAAATCTAACAAATATTATCTGTCTTCTTCTCAGGTATGCTAGAATCTTCAAGGGTTTCTGATTCTTATCGATCCCTTTTCACAAAAAGCTCTGCTACATCCTTTATTAATTATGATGCATTATCTTAAGCTATCTTCAAATCCTTATAATAAATTCATCTTACTTTCACAACTTCTCCATTTCCTCTCCTTTATATTCTTTTAATTTTTCTGTTTTTAATCCTTTCAAATGCTTCAGCTTCATTTTTTTCTTTTTAATTTCTATTATTTTTCGTTCAAATTAAATCATACTTTACTTCCTTCATTTATTAATTATCTTTTTTTTTTAGAAATCGGCCGATGACAGCCGAAGCATTCACAGCTCCCATCAATCCAGCTCATAAATAAATAAAACTTTAAAATATATTTGACATATATTTCCGCTCGAAATTATGATGATGACCTGTTGACACTCGTATTTTCCGCTTTTTTTTATGGAATTAATTTTTGTTTTCATAAATTCAATTGCTATCCGAATATTGACCTTTTTAAGAGTTGTATTGATATCGTCTCACATATGATGATGAATCTTTATGTGGATAAAAATTACTTCTTTAATTATAATCTAAAAATTCTTCAATTTTTTTCCTTAAGGTAACTCTGTAATTCGCGTTTAAGTAAAAGTGTTTTATTTAAAGTCTTTAGTTTGACGTAATTTACTTTGGTAAATATTTTACTTCCGTGAAAAAACTTACCAAAATTAATAAAATTGATTTAAAAAAAAAAAATTGAATTAGGACAAAAAGGTATATTGAACTGATGGTTGAAAATTGAAGCAGTACACAAGGATGGAATGCTTTAATCCATTTCCTTGATCCTAAATAATTTCTTGCATACTGCTTTTCGGGTATCCTGGTGAATGTTCAAACTGATGATACCCATATCGTAAATTTTGTTAATTGTTGTTGGCGGTATCGGGAATTGATCGATAATAATGCAGCTCTGCAACCGAAATTCATGAAATGTATCGAATAACTGATTTGTTGGATATGTCGTAGAAAATGGATATTGGCGCAATTGGACCGAGAAATATCTAATTGTTAGGAACAATTTGAAAGATAATAGAAATTCACATTATAGCAAAAAGGAAAAAAATAAAAATTGTTAAATTTGTTGAAAAAGCATGAAAATTTAAATTTAATAAGCACAATATCTTATTGGAATAATTTTAAACTGATCAATTTCACTGATACCTGATAAATTTGCATTGATATCATTGAAAGAGATTCTTTGTCCAATCTTTTCAATAATAAATTAAAAAAATTTAAATTTAACAAACATAAGATCTTTAAATTTTTTCAACAAAGCATAATTTTTTTTTTAACAAATACGTTTGGTCACAATTTATTTTTTTAAAAAAAAAAATGAAATTTAAACGAGGAATTAAAGAATAAGAAATAGATTTGTTCAATTATTTCACTAATACTATAACTTACCATTACGGTTATCAGAAACAGAATATCTATCATTCGCAATGTGTTGTAAAAGCTTAAACTATTGTATAAATTATTTCATCACTCATTGAATGATAATTGATATCAGTGATAAGATAAACGTAAAATGTGTAAACTGTAGTATATATTTGTTGTTGAATTATCTATTACTGTACATATTTCTGAATGTTACCATTCAAAATAGGATAATTCAAGCAAACAAATATATTTTATTTTGGATTAAAGCATGCTTGACCTCAATAGTTATATCACGATGATTAAATCACAGTAAGAAAAAAAGAAAAAAA